CCGGCCCGTGGCTGAGGGGCCCGTGGCTGAGGGGCCCGTGGGGCTCAGCCGGGGGTGTTCTAAGGGGCCGTTCGGGCTCGTTGGTGCCCCGCTGTAGGGAAGCTGCTGCTGCCTCCCCGAGTTGGGAATAGGCTGGGCCAGAACTCGGGAGAGCCAGCAGGAAGGCAGTGGTGCTTTTGGAGGAGAGAATATGTTTTAGGTGCCACAATCTTTATTCTTGACTGGATCTCCTGTGTAGTAATGCTGGACAGACGTCAGGATGTCATTGCACGGGCAATAATAAAAGAAGACCCGGTTTGCATTTTAGTCTCGGGGGAAGGTTCTTGGCCCAGAGGGTGGCTGGGCCCTGGAACAGGCTCCCCAGGGAAGTGGTCACAGCACCAAGCCTGGCAGAGCTCAAGGAGTGTTTGGACAGCGCTCTCAGGCACGGAGTGACTCCAGGCTGCCGTGTGCAGGGCCTGGGGTTGGACTGGACAGTGCTTGTCGTTCCCTTCCATCGCAGCCTGTTCTGTGGTTACAGAGAAACTCAGCTGGGTCCTCCTTGGCCAAGATGATGTGCAAGCCCCAATGCTGTAGAGCTGATTAAAAAATCAGCAGCTTTGAGTTGCACTTTGTACTCAAACTCATGTGCAAGACACATTCAGTAGCCAGGCAGATGTACCTGTGGGTGGATCCACCCTTAAATACCTGTCTCCAGCACCTCAAATTTTCCTCATCCCCTCCAGCAGCTTATTTTGCACCTTGCTTTGGGAACATAAATTCAAGATCAGCATTTTCCACTTAAATCGAAATGCCACTGTTTGTTTTCAGATACAGGAGTTACAAGTGTCCTGTTTAATGCAGGTAAAACTTTAATTTTCAATTCCCATGTTGAATTTATTCATGTCGGCAGAAGTCCTACTTTCTTAGGTAAAGCATTTGCTTTATTTTAGTTGGTTGTCTCTGAGGTTGACATGTGTCTAACCCCCCTTTATTTCCGAGGTGACACCAACTTAACTTCATTAAAGTGGTGCGGAATCTTACAGCAAACACTAACAAAATGTTCCGTGGCATATTTGTTTAATTTCTTTTGAAAAGCCTTCAGTGATAGGAACTACATGATCTGTTGACATAATTCCATTGCATGATGATTTTTATAGGTCACTGAGTTTTTTTCCTATTATATTCTGTGCTGGAAATGATACCAGTGATTATTGTTCCGTTCTTTGTGGGTTAAAGATATTCTATTTTGTCTTTTATTTGTAGAAGTACTTGTAGATTTTAACTTTACCCTTTCCTCATTTCACATTTTTCTTCAGTAAACAAATTTTGTTTTCTTCATGTTTTTCTGCTGGTAACTGTGGTTTTAAAATTTAGCCATTTTTCACTCTGCCTGCAGTTTTCTCTAAATGTGGTGCTTAACCTGCAGGTTTCTTACCAGCTGCATTGTGTTCCACTGCTGCTGAACAGAGCAAAGTATTTGTTTCTTGCGTCTTAGATCTTCATATTGTCAAATTTACCATTTTTTTTTTTCTCCTGAGTTGTTCTGCAGTCTCACTGGAACCTACCATAACTATCAGATTTCCCATGGTTTTGTTGTCTGGCCAATTTCTCCTCTTGTATTTGAATTTTTATTGTAATGCTTTGCATTTGTTTCTATAGAATTTTCAGATTATCATTCTGAGTTATGCTTCTAAGATGCTTGCAATCTTTCTCACACCTTAGTTGTCAGCCCAGATTCTGGAAGTGTGCTTTTTCAGTTTCATTTTTGGAGCAGTAAGAGACTGTTGAGATGAAGAACGAGGCCACCTCGCTTTGAGACGATTTATTGCTCAAGTAGCCAGATAAAATGTCACTTTGAAGGTGTTAGATTTAGAGGAGCAAGAAGTCAGCCATAGCTCAAGATACTCATGGGTTTCTTCTTCACACAGCAATATATAACCTTTTGGTCCAATAGACAGCTGACACAAAACTTGTTTTCCTTTATTAACCTATCACCTTTACTTTATTTTGCTGCACTGCATCTGTCTCTTAGCCACTAAGCTCACAGGTCACATATTCATACACACCTCTGTTATAGTTTCTGGATCTCTAATTTACTCTATACATCACACTATTACAGTTCAAACTTCAGACTATTTTACCTGATATAATTTCTTACATACTCTAGGCATATTCTTACTTATAATTACAGGAACAAAAGTTTGTAAATTCTCTACCCAATATCTGTGTACCTTCATCATTACCTTAATCCAAGCTCTTTCCAAGGCTGCGTATTGAACCCTTCATCATCTGTGGAAGTTTCTATTTTTCCATTTCCAACAAGAAACATCTGAAATAAATCAGGTGCATGGCAGATCATTGTGGAACACCATCTGACTCCCAGTTGGCAAGGGAAGTATTCCTAATTACATCTTCATATGATAGACGTAACTGCTCTTTAGTCTAGGCCATAATGCCTTACTCAGCTTGTCAGATTCTGAG